CTTTCATTCCTTGCCATGCATAAATAAAACCGGAGAAAACTTAATGCGTGTGAATATCTCCCCACTGTTTACTCAAGTGCTACGTGGAATGCAAATTGAATAGTGATCAGAATGGAATGGGGTGTAGTTTGGATAAAAACGTTTATTTTGCCACAAGATTACTTACTCAATATTCTTGATGTTAGTTAGGATTGAAGCCATTTTTGCAGTTCAGACTGCAAAGTTTTGTCACCCATTGAAGATGACTTCACTGCTGTCCTTGGCCTCCCTCACAGCGCAGACCTTCCTGAAGGCGACCTGCAGCACAGCAAGTTTCCGCCATGGCAGGAACGCCATGCAGTGCTTCTGAAATATTCACGCTAGTTAGGAAAGAGTTTTGCTGAAACGTGATGAACTAGAACGTGAATGTTGATTTTTCTCCTTTCAGATTACAGTTGACGTTTGAACAACAGATTTGAACTGACAGGTCCACTTGTGCATGGAGTTTTTTCAATAAATGCATTGGAAATTTTTTTGAGATTTGGGACATTTGAAAACAACTTTTTTCTGTAGTTTAATTTATTATAAGAGTACAGTACATAATACATGTAACATACAAGATATTTGTTAGTTGACTGTTTATGTTATCAGTAAGGCTTCTGGCCCACAGGAGGCTCTTAGTAGTTAAGTTTGGGGAGTCAAAAATTATACGCGGATTTTTTATTGCACAGAGGCTCAGCGCCTCTAACCCCCACATTGTTCAAGGGTCAAAACTGTGTCATTTTTGGCTGTTATTCTTAACAGATTTTAATCACTATAACCGGAAAAATAGGATCTGGATACACCACCGTGTATATGTAGTTAGAGTCAGAAAGTGATTCCAAATTCTGGGCTGATTTTTTTTTAGTTCTCATAGTTTATTGGTGTTTCTAGTGCAAAGGACTAAATGATAAATTGAGGCAGGAGAAGTAGCTGGTGGGGAGCAGCAGAGATGAAGTGCCAGTTTGTGGTGGTGGAGGGCTGGTAGCAGTGCTGAGCATGACGTGAGGTACAGGGGGTGCAGCTCCAGCTGTGCTGTGTGCCGTGAAGCAGCAGGTGGGGCCCAGCAGCCTCCGTGGGTGGGCTGTCCTGCTTGGCTCCCTGCAGCAGTAGGTGATGAGGGGTGCGTCGTGACACAGAAATGCCATCCTTGCTGTTTGGTGGGTCCCAGGTCAGCAGGCAGTGCCAGCAGTAGGTGATGAGGGGTGCGTCGTGACACAGAAATGCCATCCTTGCTGTTTGGTGGGTCCCAGGTCAGCAGGCAGTGCCAACTGTGGTGGACTTTTGGCCTCTCCACTGACCAGCTCTGAGTGTGTGCAACCCTGGCTAAGGCCTTTCATCTCTGGATCCTCGGTTTCCTCCTTTGTAAAGTCATAGTTGAAATACCAACATCTCAGTGTTATTTTCTGAACAAGAGAAAATGCATGTGAAGTATCCCAGGACAATGTCTGTCACATGGTAGACAATAAGTAAATGATGGTTATTACGTCATTAAAGTAACAGTAATAACAATAATATAATTACATTTATGCCATGCTGTTTTATAAACATAATATTTATTACGACTAATGGAAAAAGAATTTTCTGGGAGGCTTTCTTTTAGTAGCAAAGGCAAATACTAATGGGCTTTTCTTTCCAAAAAGATGGTAACTAAATTATGGCCAATACTGTGAGCCAAGCAAGCCGATAAATTATATTCCCATCCAGCTGTAAGTGCTGGTTTTCTCTAGTAAGAGATCTTAAAGGAGAAGTGTACAAATTCTTAAGGCAGATAAGACTTCCTAAACCAAGAAGTAACTTTCACTTCAGTATTAATTTGAGGGAGAAATACTTGGGCGAATTTAAGTTATTTAGTAACTGGAACTGTGCCATTTCTTTTACGTCTAGAGCACAGCAGAGGCAAAGACCATCATTCTTAGAGGAAAACAGTTTCTCATATTTCTTTTAAGTATTTAGAGCGCTGAGGTGGTTTGAGTTCAGTCACTTATTTTACTGGCCAGTGTCCCAGCCCAGGAAATGCTGGTGACGGACAAAACACAGTGTTTGAGCTTTGGCAGACTGGGTCCCGTGGCGTTGAGACAGAGTTCCGCCAGAGTGATGCCTGCTGGCACAGGGCGTCCACGTTAGAGGGCACATCTGAAGCAGCTCCCCTGGCTGGAGATTGCGGTGTCATTCACCCTTTGGTGAGGACCTGGGGTCAGGCCTCACTAGAATTTTGAAATAGATAAAGTTGGCTTTATGGCCTGATGACCTGCCACCTTATGAGAATATTGGAATTGAATCTCAGGGCTGGGATGGATATCAGAGGTGATCGTGACCAGTCGCCCTCATTTGCAAGGGTGGAGACTGGGACTCGGGGTCCGGGGAAGGTTCATTGACCAAGGAAGACCCTGGACCCGGATGCGGTGCGTGACAGGTACTCAAGTGCCCAGCGTCCCTCTCTGCTCTTGTCCTCATCTGCCCTGGATTTGGAAAATTCCTGTTAGTGGTGATTTCAGTGAATTCTTACCTATTGGGGAGGATCTGAAAGATGTTTTCCCTCTGGAAGTGATAGATAACAGTTCAAGTCCCTCTTTTAGCCTCTCTCCCACTTGCCCTTTAACAAAGCATAATATTCTCCTAAGTGTCTGAAACCCCTGCGGCAGAATTTCAGAGGTAAACAGGATCTGGGAGCGGAGTGCAGACCCTTCTTGGAGAGAGGGTGCTCCTCTAGAAGTATTAGTTTTTGAGGGGTATTACTTCAAAGCAAAAATAGTTTAATTTTTTCTGATTTTAACAAATGATAAATACTGTGTAGACAATCTAAGCCCTACCAATATGCATAAAAAAAGAGACAGCCGTTTGTTAACATTTTGATAAATGGCCTTCTTCCCTTGTGTGCAGGCATAAATACGATCATATTAAAAGGGCTCATAGGATACTTGTTTTCTTTCGTGTCACAGTATCTAGTAGAGACTTTTCAAGCAAATGACTGTGGCACATGCTACCCTTTTTTAGTGCCTGCATGTGGACCTGTCAGTATCTCTCAGCTTCTTAGTGAACATCGAGGTGGTTTTGGGGCTGTGCTGAACAAACTTTTATTGACCATCCTTATACATTTTTGCTCATCTGAACAACTGATCTGGGAAGTATTTCTAGAAGTGGAATTATTGGATGTAAGTGCATACCCATAGAAGGGTTGTGCCAATACATGACCGTCAGTAGGGCCTGAGAGTCCCTGTTGAGATACCCTGTCAGCTGGGAGTGTGCGCTCTGCTCCTCACACACCTCATGATTATGTGTGGCACGGGGAGAGGTGGCTGGGCTATTTCATAAATGTTTGATTCAACTATTTGTAATGCTTTCCCTGGATATGAATAGTTTGACTGTTTCGGAATACTGAAAGGAAGTTGAAATACCCTCTGTTTTGTGAAGAAAGACATTCAGTGAATCAAATAGCTCTTTTCCAAAAGCAACACGCAGAGGTTTTACCCTGGGCATGGCCTCCTGTTCGGACCTTGCCTGGGGCTGGGGGTGGTGTGTGGGGTCCCCCCGGGGTAAGAGCTGCTCTTCAGGGGCTCATGGAGGACCTGGATGCAGTCCCGTGTAAGACCATGGAGTGCTGGTGGTCCGGGGCAGCCTCACATGAAGGGGACACAAGGGAATTGGGAACACGGATGGGTGGCAGAGAGAAAACTGCCTTCCCGTGTATGAGGAATACGTGCAGTTAATGGTGATTAAACAACCTTCCTTCATGGGGCCGGAGGAAGGAGTAGGCTGGACGCACAGCGGGCCATCAGTCATTCACAAAGGGCTTCTTGATTCAGAGCTGAGTTATGTGGAAAGGGGTGGGGTTCACATTCTCAAGAGTTTACATATATATGAAAAAAGCCCTGTGATTTCTTTGGAACATTGTTCTACTTGGAAATTTAACCTGATAGATCTGCAGTTTGGGGCCTCTGTTCTGTTCCATTCTCAGTGACATATTTCTAGTTTGTTTATGGAGTATATGTAGTGTGAACTAGCTAGAAAAAGGAAAGTGAGAGAGGAGGAATATAAAAAAGGTCTTTAGTGGACAGACCTGGTGTCATTTTCTAGTGTCTGATTTTGAGAAGGCTCTTCGGACACTGAGCCCCACTTTCGGCATCTGTGGAACATCAGGTTATGTAGTATCTTCCCTGAAGGACCCTGAGCGGATCACCAGATGCAGCCTGTGACCAACGCAGAGGCACCTAGTCCTATGCCAGGCGAATAGCAGGTGTTGGGCAAATGTTGGCTTTCCTTCCCTTTGTCCCCTTCCGTTGGCAGGAGGACGGGTGAGTGAGGTACTGGCCAGCTGCATGTGGTCTCAGGAAGAGAACTTGGCCCACGTTCCAGTGTCCAGAACATGTGAGGGAAGAAGGGCCTTCAGTGGGACTTGAAGGGTGGGCAGAGCTCGGACAGTGCTGAGCTGCCAGCTCTGCGTGCTCCAAAGTTACAGTTCCAGCACCCAAATGCCTCGCCCCAGAGGCTGATGGGAAACTGTGATGCGACTCCTTCACCAGAGGAGTCACTTTTACCGAGCGGCTGGCGGCTGATTTTCTTTCACTTATGTATTCTCACATTTCTCTGGCACACATGCGGAGTGTGGTGACATTGTGGGCAAACTGCATCCCTTTACCCAGCCGCTGATTAGCTGGTGTTACTGGGGGGCACCGGAGAGCAGAGGGCAGGGGTGCAGGCTGGCTGGGAGGACAAGTTAGCCTGGCCAAGGCCTGTGTGCAGGGTGCTGACTGTGGGGCCTCAGGATGCATGGCACTACGTGGCCAGGGCCAGGCTGCAGGGACTGGGGCCCTAGTGGCCATCTAGTGGGGAACTGAGCTCCCATGCCTCTTCTTAGGACGCTATTTTTTTTGCCGTGGCCCTTGCGAAGGAAAGTGGAAAATGCCAGCCAGCACCTGTTAGGTGGAATGCCCAGCTTCTTTGGTTCTGCTAATGTTTATGCCGTCTGCCTTCTTCCTCAGCCACCCGACAGTGGACCACCGCCGCTGCCCACGTCCTCCCTCCCCGAAGGCTACTATGAGGAAGCCGTGCCCTTGAGCCCCGGGAAGGCTCCGGAATACATTACATCAAGTGAGTGTGGCATCTGCCTGGCAAAGCTGGTCCCGTGGTTTGGGGGACTGTGGTATGAAGGGTAGCAGGGGGTGCACACAGCACCAGGGGAGGCGGACAGAAGCACCTCTTGATCCCAAGAGGTGAATCAAGGAAGGGATTTGAAAAGCCGAAGCGCGCACGAGATGCCCTCGCTAATTCAGATCATCTCCCCTGCGGCTCCCGATTAGCGGAGGCTCACTGCGGCGGAAACAGGCATCTGAACAATACGTGTTCCCCTGGCAGATTGGGGACATGGTCGTTTGGAAACAGACGGCCTTCTGTGGCATGTTTGTGGGTGCAGGCCCTCGACTTTGACCAGCGCGTGTCCCTCCCAGGCTGAATTCATTGTGCCCTGTGAGCATAGTGTCTCCCAGGCTACAGTGATTAGGCACAAAACAAATAGCCACCTGAGCCACAGGCTTTTCTTTTTTTTTTTTATCTTTCGTTTATGCAGGTTTCCCAGAAGAGTCTTGCCTAAATTAGAGTTGTCATGGTGTGACTCTAGAGAGCTAGCTGCCTGGCAGCCCTCAGAAGCACTTCTTTATCTGTACAGCTTTCAAATTCACATGAAGAAAGATGCCCTGACATTGGAAACCTCTTCATAACTTTCTCTGGAATTTTATTTCTGGATCATTGGCTGTATTTCTGTCAGGCAGTGAGCTGTTGTCTCATCATGAAGTGGAGTAGAGTACCTGAATATATGCAGACTTAGGGAATCTTGCTTTTCTTATGAAAGATAAAATGAGGGAGGCAAAGAGTCTTTGTGCATTAGAGTCACAAGGCTGCCAGCACATGGTCTGTGCTACCTCAGAGCGTGTTATCCTGCCTCATCTGTTCTCTCATGGACACGTGCTCCATCATCCGTGTTCCCCGAGGTCTCTGCTCCACGGAGACTGAGTCTTCTGATCTTTTTCCTCCCTGGCAATGGACAGGCAGAGCCATTTCAGCAAAGCACACTCTAAGTTGACGATTACAGGAAGTGCTCCCTGACCTGTCCCCCTGCCCAGGATGTTTTCAGAATGTGAGAGGCACATACAGAACCCAGGCCAGCTGGACCGTAATCCCGTCGAGGGCAAGGGCCCTCTTCCAGCTCCCTGATGCCTGTCTTCGCAGCTTCCTGGAAGTGCTGACAGCCTCAGCCCAGGAGCAGTGCATGTTTGTTCCATTCTGAATGAGAAAAGGGACAGTTCTGAAGAGGAGGTTAGGAAGTACCAGGTTTTGAGATTTACAACTTGCATATTTTGATTTCTTTTCACTTAAGAACTATTTAGGAAAATGCATTCTGGTAATTTCTAAGTGTCCACAATTTCAGAAATTATTAGATACATTAGAAAACACAAAGAACTAAATGGCTTGATGGAATTCAAAGCTGCATTGGTCTCCTTTCTCTCTAGCAGCAGGGAGTGAAAAAAAGACTTGGGTTTAATAAGGGTATTTCCAGCATTCGGAGCATTAAGTTCCAGCCTGCCGCCACCTCCCCTTCCCCTCCCTCCAACATACTTTCAGGGCTGGAAACCGATAGTAATTGTGTTTGACTCTGGGGGGCCTTAGGTGCTTTCCAGTGCGAGCCCCACGTAGCTGATGCGTCACGTCCTGTTCTTCAGAGAAGGCACTCCTCACTTGCTGACTGGTGGGCGACTTTTGTTGAATTAATTCTGAAGAACAGTGGAGGGACCCACACTCGCCCGTGGCATCAGCAGTGGCAGCTTCTTTAATTGACTGTCTGGTTGGACAGCCGAAGGCTGAGCGCCACCCCTTCCCTTGAGGATCAGGCCAGGCTTAGGCTGTCTGCAGCCACCTGGGGACTTTTTGACAGCTCAGCCCTGTATCGGGTACGGTTTCATCGGAGAAGCAGAACCGTTATGAGTGTCGTGGAGTGAGGGGCCTGTTACAGCAGCGAGGCCTCATGCAGCAGTGGGGGCCAGTGAGGAAGCCTGTAGAGCAGGCTGGCTCTGGGGAAGAGCAGGTGGATGGGGCCTGGGCAAGGAGGACGGGCTGGAGCCCACTTCTGTCCCGCCTTCCTCTAAACCTGGTGACATGGACCGTCAGCAGGGAGGCCGGACCACGCCCCCGCGGAGCTGCCTACACCCAGCCCAGGACTCAGCGTTGACAAGGGAGATGCCCCAGCTGGAGCCGGAGACACTGAGGGCCCCGTGGCTGCCCCAGGCTGCAAGGAGGCCAGCGACGTGTGTGAGCCGCAGCCGTGCCCAGCGCGCAACCCCAGCCTGCAGAGTGTGCTGGCAGCTACTTGCCTTCCGCCTTCCGGATTGCTCACAACTCCCTCTGGTGGCCACCCAGAGTCATCCAGGAAAGGGGATCTGGGGAGATGTCATTCCAGCCTTGCTAAGTTGATGCAGTATAAAAACCACCATCGTTTATCTTGTTTCAATTTGGCATCCATGCACACCTCTTTTAACTACATCCAATTTCCAAATAAAGACAAAGGCAGAGTCACGGTTCAGCAGAACAGGATTCAACCATCACCCATATGATGGAAAACCCCCTAGCTCCCCCAGAGGATGCAAAGTCCCTTTTCCATTCAGGGTGACATCCATTTTCTTCTAGCTGAGGAATAAGAATTGAGATCCAAGGCCGACTGTTAGCACTGCTGATGTCGGACACAGGGGGGGAGAGGCATTCGCTTATACACAGACAAATGCTTCCGTTTCAAAGTCAGGAATGAAGATTCCCACCTGGTTTAGTCCTTTCAGGGCGGCCTGCGGCCCTGACCAGTGGGTGTGACTTCCTTCATGTGCCCTTTGCCTTCAGCAAGCACCTGGGTTGTTCGTCTGATAAGATGGCTCATTTTTCCTTCCTCAAAGTCTGGGCCTTTGGCAGGACTGCCTGCGTGGGATGGTTGTGATTTTCCACTGACTCTACTCACAGGGCAGGGGGTACCAAGGGACAATGAGGGGTCCCCTACATGCTCCTCCTCCTCCCTAGGTGGTCAGACCAGTCACCCCTTCTTTGCCTGTTGTCCCCACTTCCAGGTTAATGGAGCAAGTGCTATATCCTTTGGAGGGAATATTCTGTCCTTAGAAACTAAGATCTGAGGGCTAGCAGAGCCAGAATTTCAGGGAGGGAGGCAGTAGTGAGGGGAACCTCTACCATTCTCATCCCTGGGTTCCCAGGCCTGTGAATCCTGGCTCTGGGAGAAGCAGCCGACTGGGGCAGGGCACATGTGCTAGAAGATATTCTAGAAGACAGCAGCCCCTGGTGCCAGGTGGGACCAGTCTAGCTGGTCATGAAACTGAATGTCCACAGGGACATTCTGCAGGTCTGTTGTGTCAGCTGTTTTAGGGTGATGGGGACGTGGCAAGACCAGTGAATTTTATGAGCACGAACCCATAGCTATAAACTTCATTTACTGTACATTGAATTCTGTGGTTGGAAGCAGTGCTGTGTGGGGTCCGTGATGGTGACTAGGGTGTTCCAGAGACCATGGGCACTGCTTTTGACAGCATTGTGCACAGGAAGGCAAGTGCACTTTAATTTTGTCCCAGTCAGAGTAAACCGCCCCTTCTAAGCTGGAAGGGGTCCAGTGACAACCCGCTGCTTGTGGCTGGTTGTGACCCCAGGGAGCAGCATTCTGCACAGGCAGGACACTCAGAAGTGCCAGGGTCAGATTAATCCTCATGAGTGGCAGTCCGTGTGGTTGAGTCTCATGTGTGACCTCCACTCTGGCCACCCTGGCCACTTGTGCATGCGTCCATGCAGACAGAAAGTTTGGGAAAGGGGTTTGCCAATGCCTGTGTAACGGGTCATGTTATTTACTTGGTGACAAAGACCTTCCACTGAGGTTGCTCTTTGCTAAGCATTCGCCTGGTCTGTTCACAGACTTCTCTGCAGACCCCCTCGCTACTAGTTCCTCTAAAGTCTTGACCGTCCACACAAAGCGTCAGGCTGTGCTCATGCATCACTGTTGAGAGGAGGAGGCCGTGCAGCAGGAGGGCCTCGGGCCTCTGTGCTGCTAGGTCATGCACCTTGCTCCCGTGTCTGGGCCTGATGGGGCTTCTAGAGAGGCAGACCTGACAGTCGGGCGCTTCTTGATGGGTCAGGGAACCCAGAGTCTGTGTTCGGTGGCCGAGGTTGCATTACGACTTGGTGCCCGGGACCAAGCATTCAGCCTCTACTAGCACACTAGGTCGTCAGTGAGCCAGAAGCAGTTTCTCAACAGTGAACGGATTGTCTTCAGAGGTCTGCATAGCTGGGCCCTGAGATCCTTAAGGCCGGCCTGAGCTCACCTACAGGAGCCTGCTGACGGCTTCCACTACCGATTTCTGTAACAGGGTTTGATTGGAGAAGCAGAAGTGCTATGAGGTGGGACAGAAGATTCAGTGTTGGTCCAGACCTCACGCAAGTGTGGGGGCCGCTGTGGAAGTCAGTGGAAGGCTATTTCCTGTGCATCTGGTCAGAACAACAGTCTGGAAGAAAAGTTGGACTTGAACGAGGATGCGCTGCAATCTGCAAGGACAAACTGCAGCCCATCTGTCTTTCACCCCTTCCAAACTGGGTGACGCAGGTGACCCACGGAAGGTACCAGGGCTCCTGGCTATGGAGTCATGTGTGCGCCTGGCTGGGAGGTGAGCCGTCAAAGTAGAAGGCCCTGCAGCAGATGAGGGGCGTCCAGTCACAGCCTCAGACGAACAGAGTGGGTGACAGATCCTCTGGGACAGGCCCAGCGGCCCTCACTGACCTTCCGCGTGTATTGGCTGCCGGTCCCTTTCTGCTGTCCAGTCGCTCACCAAGTCCCCCTGTGGCAGCCCTAAGCCAGACCAGTCCTGGCAAACGTGCTCCAGCTTGGCTCAGCTGACAGCGACAGCCCTGCCGACCCTGCGGGCCTTCGGGCTTCAGATTTACATTCCATTTTATTTTCGGTTTCCTAGTTCCCCTCCTTGTACTCCTCTCCCTCCTCAAGGGCAGTTGGCTGAAATGCCATTTTTTATTTTATGGTGTATGGGTATATGCTTGAAATATGCAATTTTATATAGTTCAAGTAATGGTTCTTTGGCTCCGCCAGGACTGCGCGGTGATGGCAGCTCCTGCCCGTAAGACCAGTGTCTGTGTGGAAGAGCATCTCCTGACCAGCAACACCCCCTGAGCACAAAGACCCACTCAGCTCTCTTGCTGACGCTGGTTGGCCTCCTCGTCCTGCACCAAGTGTAGACATCTGCACGGGACGTGCGGGGCTGGTGGTTCCTAATCACGCCCTCTCTGGCTTTGCCCCAAATACAGCCCTCCATCCCTCTCCCTGGGAGCTCCTGTACCACTCACTCAAGGTCCAGAGGTCATCGGTGGTCCACCCCCAATCCCACTCTGGGTCTTTCTTCATTGTTCACAAAGGCCTCGTTATCGCCAAACATCATCCAAGCCCCAGCCCCAGAGAGTGACTCCTTGAAGTACGCTTAGAGCCGCCGGGAGGTGCGCGGAACGAGCGCAGCACGAGAGGTTCTGCTCCCTGCTGGGGTGCTGCCCAAGACGCTTCCCCAGAGGCGACTCCCTCTAG